TGTCACTGGCCCTCATGTGGGATCCGAACCGGGGCCCTCTGGCATCCCAAGCCAGTTCTTAACCATTGCACCAGTCGGCCAGCCCTCGCTGTCACATTTCTTAATGTATTGGGTTGTCGAGAAAGTCATGACACATTTTTGCATTGAAAAACAGAAAAATATGACTTTCCCTGACGACCCAATAGTTCTTAGAACTTATCAATGGCTGGGAGTAATTTTCTTGTTGTCTTTCTCTCCCCAGTAAGTGCCTTGAGGGCAGAGACTGGTAGCCACTCATTCTTATTGTTGACTGATAGATTGATGAGATAATAAGCAGAAAAAGCTGTGAGGACTTGGGTGACTGCTTGACTATAGGGGATGAGGAAGTAGTAGTCGGGTAACCCCCATGTTGTTCAGCATCCCTTTGACTAAGACTCATGGGGCATAGTCTCCAGAGTTTGCAGACATGTCTCTCTTGATAAGCAATGTACTTCCTTCTAGCTGACCACAGGAGTCATTGAATTTGTCCTGTTTTCCCTTGTCTGGGCTGCCAGACAGCTCAGTGCCCAGTTTTGTGTACATTAATTGGGTGAATACTTACTGAACCCCTGTTGCATGCAGGGCTGTGCTGAAGGTGGGGGCACAGGCAGGGTCAGTCAGACAGATGAAGACCCCTGTTCTCATGAAGCTTGCGTTCTATTTGGGGGTGACAGTCAACCAGTGGACAAGCCCAAACAGGATAGTGATGGTTGCTGTAGGGGAGAGAGTTGTTGTGACAGAGGGTGATGAGCAGAGGTGAGGAGGGTCTGAACTAGACTCCATGGTAAGGGACGACATCCCTGAGGAAGCAGCCTCTGAAGGGCCAATATGTGAACCTCTTAATCCACATGCCCTGTTCACAACCTTGCCAGGGCTCCCTGGGTCTCCCCTTATAGTGGCCTACAAAACGCCCTATAATGCCCCTGATGACCTCTCATACCCGGTCTTCAGTGCCTCTCCTTATTTCCTCGATTCAGGCACACAGCCCTTGTTCCTCACTGGTACCTTCGCCCCAGGACTTTTGTACCTTCTGTTCCTCCAGGTGACTCATTCCTCCACTTCCATCAGGTTGTAGCTCAAATGCCATCTCAGTGAGGCCTGCATTCACCTCCTTAAAATTCCAACACTGCCCTGATACCCTCTCCTGTTGAGTTTGTTCCCAAAATGCCCAATACCGCTAACATGCTGCATGGTTTCCCCTATTTATTATCTCTTCCCTCACTAGAATGGAAGCCCCATGGAGACAGGGGTTTTCTCAGCTTTAGTCCCTGCTGTACTTCCAGTGCCTGGAGCAGGCAGGTGACCAGTAAGTACTTACTGACTTGATAGACATTCCAGGAAAGTCATTGCCAACTGTGACAAATGGACCACCGGGGGCAAGAGAGAAGCAGGAAGAGCAGTTAGGAGTTTATTGAACTGATCTAGATGACAGGTATTGTGGGCTGCATCAGTTAGAGGCAGCTACATGCCAGTCATGTTTTGGAGACAGCTGGCAGCACCAGCAGGTGGTGGCAAAGTCTTGTGTCACGAAAGACTCCTCAGGAGCAGTGACCGATTGTCCTTTCCTTCCCCTCCCCGCATCCGTCTCGGGGCCTGAGTTGTTGCCTGACCTGTCTCCTTTTTTCCTTTTAAAAGTGTTTGTCCTGTGGCTCTTTCCTTCCGCTCTACATCCCCTTGGGCCTTTCTGGAAGGAAGTAACACAGCTCAGTAACAGGGAGGTGCTCTCTCTTCTGTCCTGATACAGGTTGCTTTTTTCTTGGAGAAAGAAAACAACCCTCCTAACAGGGAGCCTACCAGGGAGGACCTCGTCAAGACATGCAGTGTCCCCGTCACCCTCACCCCCACTCCAGTGCCGTACAGCCCGAATGTTGAGTCCAGCTGTGGGGATGACCTGGGCGCCAGAGACTTGGAGATGTCTAAGAAAGTCAGGCGATCCTACAGCCGGCTGGAGGCCCTGGCCTGTGCTTCTACCTCCACCCCAGGCCGCCAGTCCTGCTTTGGTTTCGAGGGGCTGCTGGGGGCAGAAGGCCTGGCTGGAGTCTCGCCTCTGGGATGTTCAGAATTCACTGAGGTCCCCAAGGTCCATGTGATTCCCTGGACCCCAGACATGACTCTCCCTGGAATCTCCCCACTGGTTGTGAAAGAGAAACGAAAGAAGAAGAAGGTGCCGGAGATCCTGGTGAGTGATGGATGGGCAGGGGCCTTCTGTCGTCACACGGACACGCTGGGCTGGGGCTCAGCTCTGGCTGTTTTTGGGGAAAGGCAGCGCCTGCAGGGTATGAATAGAGATGCTGCAGCCAGCATGCCCCTCTCTCCACTCACCTGCCCCCCATTTTTTTCCTCCAGAAATCGGAGCTGGATGAGTGGGCCGCAGCCATGAATGCTGAGTTTGAAGCTGCTGAGAAGTTTGATCTTCTGGTTGAATGAGATGAAATGGGTGTACCTGGCCAGACCTCCCCTTCTTCCCCCTGTACATATCCCCTTCTTCCTGAGGAAAGGACACTTGGGGTCCCCTTCCGGCCTTGTTACCTGTGCATGTGCTGTGGTTGCACGTGAGGTCTGTCCTATGAATGTTTGTGCAATGGCAGCTGCCATTTTGGCTTCAGGAAATGGGGCTCCCCTGGCCCAGCCACACGCTGATATGCTGTCTCTAGTCAGTGACACGAGCCCCCCTCCCCCATCCTCCTCCCTGCCTCCCAGAGTATCCTGGCTAGTTTCCAGTTGTGCCACAGAGGGAGGAGGAATCACTGGCCTGGCCAGAGGAGGTTACAGGGCTGGGGAATGTGGGTGAGAGCACCTCGGCTCTGCTTGGGAGATGTGACGCCTCTGACCAGCCCCAACAGAAACAGGCACCCAGGGCCATAGCAGCCTCAGGCGCTCTCTCCTGAGTTGCCTTCTGTTGGTGGCGTAGTTCCATCGATATAAACGGCTTGGGTTTCCTCTTTGATTCTGTAGATGGTCCAAGAGAGAGTTCATGGATTGGGGACAGACTGTGAGGAAGTAGCTGGACACGCAGCCAGTGGAGTCAGGTTTTGAAGGAGGGTGGGAAGCTTTGGTTGGGTCTCAGACCATAGGTGTTTACTGCGTAGAAGCTATGTTTTGTTGTCCTGTGTTCTGCTGTTGAGATGTTTGGTTAAATGCCAGGCTGATGGCTATGTGGGTAAAGAGTGCGTTTTGGGGGGTGGTGCCAGACACCATAGGCTCCAGCCTCCACAAAACCTGAGGCTCAGAGCATCTGGACTGGACACCAGCACAGGCCAGTAAGGGGCCCGTGGCAGAGGCGCTCCCTCTTGTGACCCACACGTTTTTTACAAAATAAAGCAGAGAGTCAACTCAGCTCTAGAACAAAAATGTACAGGTTGAACAGTCCAATGCCACTAGCGCTTTGCAGCTATGCTTGTGAAGTTCTAGGAAGCTTTTCTCACGGGCCAGAAAGGGGCAGGGGGTGATAGCAGTTTTAACCTGTAGCTCTCAGTGTTCTCTCACATGAGAGCACTGCCTGAGGCTGATGCTAGGAGTTGAGTTGGGGAGAGGGCTGTCTCACTGTCTCCAGGGAACCCCACTCCCCCACCCCATTTCTCTTCTCAATGCTGGTAAAAGGTGTGTTTTCAAAGGTTGCCCAACCACAACCTCCGCTATATCCCAGGTAGTTGAACCTCTTGATGTGTGCAGGTTCCTGGATATAGAAGCTAAGAGGAGTGTGGAGGGGCTGATGGAGGGCAGAGGACGGCAGGGAAGATGAACGCTTGCTTGGTCAGGGTACTGGAAATGGCGCAGCCTGGTGGGCGCTAATTAAACACTTTGCAAGGCCCGCGAATCCCAGCTTACCTGCTCAACGCTTCTCACTTTGTCAGACCCTGCAAGCAAGCCCCTTTGCCGGGGTGGGCCAGATGGGCCTGAGCTGGACCACAGCCAAAGGATTCCTGTCCTCACTGGCTGGCACAGACCTCCTGGGAAGTGTATCAGTCCAGCAGAGAAGAGTCAGAAGCAGCCTAATGATGTTGAGCTAATGTCATCACTGTAAACCTCTCTCTGTCCCTGAAAAACTTAAGAATGTGGGGTTTAAGGGAAAGTTGCAGTTTCTTTAAATTAAAAAGAAAACACCTGATTGGAGAGTTTCTGTCTGTTTGTAGATTGTTTCTTTTATTGGGTCAAAGGCAGAGCTGAGCGTGTGAGGCCCAGGAAGCCAAGCCTTTGGGCTGTGTCACAGATGTGTCCCTTTGTACAGGGGGCTGCCAGCCGGGCCTCCAGTAGCCCTGTGGTAGATCACTGCCACCGCTCCCCATGACTGTTTTTCTGTCCAGTCGTTCACACCTGCTCCTCCAAAGGCAGGGCTGCCTGGAATGTTCGAAAGGATGTTTGGAAGTTGCTCTCTGCTTCTGTCCCATTTACTTGTCCTCACTAGACTCAGGCCTCCGCATCCTGAGCCAAAAGCATCCTTTTGGGGGTCATGACAGTGCTGCCCCTCTTTCCTGGCTTCTGAAATGTCACGACACACAGGTTCAGCCTTGGACCCTCTGTCCAATCTGATTGCTTTCCCTGGACAACCCCAGGCTCTCAGCCACCTCGTGGCCAGGCTTTATCTCCAACCCATGCCTCTCTCCTGAGCTTCAAACAAGAATCTAGAACTGTTTTAGAACTGTATCTCAACTCAGGCGTCATCTTGAACTCAGCTCATCCTCCAGTTTGCCTGTTCCTGTGCACCCTACACCATTAGCATCACCACGAGCTGCCTCAGTCGCACAAGCCAGGACCCTGGGGCCATCTGCAGCTCCACCCACTCCCTTACCCCATCCAGGGGCCACTGGACAGTTGTCCTGGCCTAGTGAGTCTCCTTCCCTTTAATCTCTCATCTCTCCAAACTTCCCACTGCGGCCAGAATGAGTTTCCGGAGACAAAATATGGTGCTGTTTCTCCTCTGCTTAAAACCCTTTGACACAATTCTACTTCTGGGTGTAATACCCACAAGAATTGAAAGCAGAGACTCAAAGAAGTATTTGTACACCCACGTTCACAGCAGCCTGATTCACAATGTCCAAAAGGTGGAAGCAACACAAATGTTCATTGATGGATGACTGGATAAACAAAATGCAGTATATACACACAATTGAATATTACTCTGCCTTAAAAGGGAATGAAATTCTGATACATACTACAACATGGGTGAACCTTGAAAACATGATGCTAAGTGTAATGAGCCAGTAATAAAAGAACAAATATTATATGACTTAGGTACCTAAAATAGTCAAACTCAGAAACAGGAAGTTGAATGATGGTGCTTGCCAGGGGCTGGGGCGGCAGGAATGGAGAGTTATTGTTCTGTTTTTTTAAAGATTTTTACTGGGGAATTTGCTGTCCTTTTTGTTCTTCAGTCTAGTTGTGGAGGACGTTGCTTCACTGGCCCAAGTTAGTGCCATCACTGTGCTCTTCCCGGGTGAGGCAGATAAGTCACCGGCTTCTGGATGGCTGCTCACGGCGGCTGCTGGCCACTCACGCTGACTGCTGGCTACACACGGTAGCCCATGGCAACCCACTGCCACAGGGGCTGCAGCCTACGCCGTCGCCAGCGACTCACGGCAGCCCAGCTCCAGGTTGAGCTGTTGTTCAGCATCTTAGCTGTAGAGGGCAGTGTCACTGGCCCTCATATGTGGGATCCGAACCGGGGTCCTCTGGCATCCCAAGCCAGCTCTTAACCAACGCGCCACTTGGCTGGCCCAAGAGAGTTATTGTTTAATGGGAGCAGTTTCATTTTGGGAAGATGAAAAAGTGCTGGAGATGGATGGTGGTAATGATTGCATAGCATTTAATAATGCTTAATGCCACTGAACTGTACACTTAAAATGGTAAATTTTGTCATGTATTTTGCCATAATTTAAAAAACAAAACCCTTTGGTGACTTCCCATTGTCAGTACAATGGTATAAGGATGGTTACTGGGTTTGGGCTGCCCAGCATCTCAGCCTCCACAAGTGGGCTGGCTCTAGGATCCCACTTCCCTCCATGGGCGTGAAGAGGCCAGACACTTGCTCTTCCTGATCCCAGAAACCAGGGATGTGGGCATCTAACCTGAGCTCAGCCAATCAGATTCTACACCTGAAGTGAGAACCGAGAAGAGGGAAGAACAATTGAGGGTTCATCGAGGGGGTGGTCCTGTGTGTCCAGTGGCCCTGGGCCTCCATTGTCCTGTGTGGAGATGGCAGGTCACTGCAGTTCGCTCCTGCGGCAGGACTCTGGGTGGTCCTGGCAGCCAGTGTCCCACACTTCCTGCCCTTGGAATCTGTTCCTCCTATGAATTCTGCGACTCCCCAATATCCTTCCAATAAATACTTTTCTGCTCAAATTAGTCAACGTTGTTTTCTCTTGTTGCAACCCAAACTCCTGCCGGTCCAGACTCCTTGGCAGGGCTCATGAGGACTTAGTGAGAATGGTGGCCACGACTCTGGTCTTAAGGCTCAGGGAACCACCACGGGCCCTGAGCTGCGACGAGGTCCACGCCTCTGAGCATTTGCGCATCCTGCTCTCTGCCTTGCCTCCTCTTCCCCGCTTCTGTCTCACCTGGTGAGTCCTGCATCCGTTATGTCTGGCTCAAGTGTCACCTCTGCTCAGCCTTTCTGACCTGCCTGTCCCCTCCGCAGCAGTAGCATGATGAGTAAGAGCACAGATTCCAGAGCCCAAAAGAGTTTGGATCCTGGTGTTACCAGTTTCTAGCTGTAGGACCCGTCATGTTAATTAGCCTCTCTGTGCCTCAATTTCCTTATCTGTAAAATGGGAACAATAATAGTATCTACCTCATAGTGTTTTGACGAGAGTGAGATAAAATAATACAAGTAAAGGGCTTAGTACAGAAATGTTCAATGAACAATAGTTATTTTCAGGTAGAGCTGGCCACTCCCTCCTTTATTATTCCCTGAACCCTGCACAGACCTCCATCATGGTACCTTTAAGCTTGAGTCTGTGTGTCATGCACACACGTTTATACAGTAGTCTGAGCTCCCTGAGGGTGGAGGACACTCAGGTTTGTCCCCGTCCCCCCAGCTTCCAGGCACATCATGGAGGACTAGATGTTTCCCTCCAGCCCAGTCAGGCTGCGTCCCTCTGTCAATGGCTAAAGCTGGCAACCCTAACTTCGAAGGATCTAGTTGGCTGGACAGAGTTAGTGGTGGAGGCTCTCCAGGCCGGAGGCTGCCCCAAGAAAACCAGATGAGGCCGGAAAGGGGAGGCCAGCGGGATGGTGGACTTGGCTCACCAATCAGGCTTCTGTCTCCCCCAGTCTCCCCAGGGCAGACAAACAGTCCACTCTAAGCCCATCAAGAAGCCAGTGGTGCCACCTATTAAGGAGCAGAAGCCGGAAGACCTTCAGGTCTCTGGGGAGCCAAGCATGGGGATGGCAGGAGGGTTGGAAAAGTTCTTCCCCTGCCTGGGTGGAGATCTAAAATCCCAGCCATCGCTCCAGGGTATGGGATGACCCAGGCTCGGGCTGCCAGCCTCATGCCGCCTCAGTCACCATGACATCTTCTCTGCCATAGCCACCCTCTTCAGAGCCAAAGCTGGACCTGCAACCAGAACCCACGGCCAAGTTCCTATTTACACTCCTGAGCGAGACAGAGCTCCCCGAGCCCAAAGACCCTGAAGAGTAAGTCTGTGTGGTAAAGGCGAGGGAGGCTGACGGTTCATCTCCCCCCCCTCCCGCCCATCAACATGCAGAGCTGGGCCAGGACTCAGCCCTGGAGTGGGCAGAGGGGGGCCCAGCAGCACTGAAAGAGCCGGGCCTTGGGCTCCCTGCCCACACTGCCCACCTCATCTTCCCCCAGCCTCTCGACCCTCTGGGCCAACCCTCACTGCACATCTGCCCTAGGGACTTGGAGATCCAGGAGAGCGGGTTCCTGGATAAGGAAGACTGTGGCGCCCAGCAGACCTTGAAGGAAATCAGCCGTTTGCAGAATGCTTGCATACGGTGAGGGCCCGGGGCAGGTAGGGTGACAGGGCTTTCCCCACGGAGGTCAGGGCCTGGGGCTCGACAGCTGTGGGTTTGCACCTTCACTTGGCCCTCTTCCTTCTTCGTTCCCTTGCCTTCTCCCTGTTCTGTTCTGAATGACCTCCTTGCTGGCCAGCAGGTCCCTCCTAAGCATCACTGTCTTCCTCGTATGTGAGTGGGACCCACCCCAGAAGTAGGGGGCCACAGCTCTTTCCTGTCAATTGACTGTGTGCCCACATTCCTGGTTATTGGGCAGTCTTTAAGGCTGCCTGTTAGGGACCCCTCACTTTTCATTGTTCAAGAACTTGAGGGGTAGTTTGGTCTGGGGGCAAGGTATGTTCTCTGCATGTCAGGCTCTGGAGCTTGGGTAGACACACTCCCATGGCCATTTGCCAGAGGCAGATTGAAACTGGAGCCCAACTGAGTCCGGGCTCGTGCTGCCTGTGCAGCTCAGTCAATAGATCGACACAGGAGTTGGGTCCTAGAAGAAGCGTTTATTATCAGAGCATCGGTGGTCTCAGAAGGCAGCGGGTTAACACCTCCAAAAACTGCCTTAACATTCTCAGACCCGCTGAAGGTATTTAAGGGAAAATCTGGGCGTTCCTCCAGAGGCTACGTGACGGTTCCGGGGGGTCTGTTCTGCTTCATGGAGCCTTCCCTCTGGCAATGTGGCTCTCCGACATGGTCATCAACCCAGGAGCAGTGATGGGAGTAACCTGGAAAGATGCTAGGCCATAAAGATTGTGATCATTAAGCATGAAGGTATTAATCATAAATTTCAGGTTAATTTTCTAAAGCAGGGAACTGGGATGGGACATTCCTAGCTCAAGCGGTGGGGGATGATCTATTGTTAGGCTATAGGACAGGGAGAGGTGAAGCCAGGGACATTGAGAGGGGTCTCAACTGGGCCCTGCTTCAATTCCCCACTGTCAAAAGGCAAAATCCGTATCTATGAGACTAGCTTGAGGTGAAATTGGTCACTATGACATTGAAGAAAGGCTCGAGCTTCCAGTGTCTGTTGGGCCTTCAGCAGCCAGCTGGCAGCAGACCTATAAGTGGGGGCACATTGAATACAGCAGCAAGACATAAGCCCTACAATTACAAACAAAAGGAAAACGAGAAATGCTTCCCTTAAACTG